AGAGAGAGAGAGAGAGAGAGAGAGAGAGAGAGAGAGAGAGAGGTGTGTGTGTGTGTGTGTGTGTGTGTGTGTGTGTGTGTGTGTGTGTGTGTGTGTGTGTGTGTGTAAAAAATGTGTTTACACTATCATGAGAAAATAACAGTCAGATTGTATATATGGCTGCAGTTCACAAATATGGATGTTATTTTTTCATGATATTTTGAAAGTAATCCATTAGGAAGCCGTTCTCACAGACGCCCCAAACCTCACTACTATCTGCAGTTATGGGCGCAGAGGCTGAGCCATTCAAAACTTTTGGAGGTAAACTGCAAAATAGACAAAATTTGCCCCCCTAATTTCCCTGAGATTGGGAGTCTGTTTCCGATAAATGCTGCACAATTCAGGTCCGGGTCAAAAGTGTCTCTGAACTTCGTCAGTCTATAAAACGGGGCTAGAAATCTTGCAAGAACAGGCTTTCTCTGCGACTTTGGGGATTTCCTGATTATAGTCATGCTAGATGCAGCACAAGAACTGCCCACTCTGGCACTTCCACATCTGGCCCTAGCTGAAATCTGGCAGTAATAGGCAGATGTAAAAATAAGAAAAGCTAACTCAGCATTTCTGAACCTTCCCATGGGCATGGGTTATAGAAAAGCGTTCAGGTCTGGGGAGCCAGGGAGAGGGGGGCTTATTTTTCCGAAGTCAATTCTCCCTCCCTGGCTGGCATAGCTGTTCTCAGCATCCAATAAAGAGCACGACTGAAATGGAGAGAGGAGATCAAAAGTGGAAAAGACCTGTGGAAACAGCACGTATCTGTTGAAGGTGAAAGCCGTCAATGGCGCAGGAGACTTTGGTGTCTGAAACCTGCCTTCAAACTACATCTGAAACCCCCACCTTTCTACTGCTACTACAGAGGCAGCAGTGCTCTGAGAATGAAGGATTTCATTATTGCAAGACTTTAGCAGGATCTTTGATTATTTTGGCACAAGCAATTGCATTGACTCTTCAGACCAATGTGAAGGCAACAGCAAAGCTGTGTGTGTCACACAGGAAAGAAGCCTTTCCTCCCCCCTCCCTAATCTTTGTTTCACTAGCACAAGCTCTTAAAGAGCAGCTGGCACCTCATGAAAAGCTTTGAAAAATATTCACTAGAGGGACAATTTCATCCTGGACAAAATCCAGGTGGAGTAATTACCTTTAGCCAATCTACGCTGCCACAGCAGTTTCAACTGGATATGGGATTCCTATAAGTAGAGCCAGATCCTCAGCGGGTGCAAATCAGAGCAGGTTCACTGACTTCAGTGAAGTTATGCTGATTTACACCACCTGAGATCTGGCCCAAGGGCTGTACATTACTCGGTGTTCTTCTGGATGGAAGGGTAAAACCCACCTTCAAAGCTGATCCATGTACCCGGTACGTCCCTTTTCAAGGGCTCCCGTTCTCGTAGTATCATCCGACAGGAGTGCCACCCAGGGTTTAACACCTCAATCAGCACCCAGCAACTCCTGCTGCTTACTCCCTACCTGACGTCACACTCCTTTCCGTGTCATGAAAGCAGCAGAGGTGGGAATAAGCAGCAAGAGAGATGCAAACACCAATCTTTTTGGATCACGTGCCAAGACGGAGAAACCAGGATACTGTATGATCGACTGCAAGCCGTCTCTGACCAAATTCACCTTCAAAGGCACCAGTAGCCTGCAAATGGGAATCCTCTATTGGGATAGATTTTAATGATAGAACCTCAGAACCTACTCTGGTTACAGTGAAGGCCAATCCAGCCGGCGGGACAGATGCAGCGCCCTGTCACATGATCACAGCGGGCTCCATTCAGACACGTGCAGGTTTTCTGACACTCCAGGCCATAAAATCCATCGGGACAGGCTGGGAAAACAGAAAAAGCCCAGAAATGTTTGTCTCAACGTGTGCGCAGAGGGCTGGAAATCTCCCAAGGAGAGAGGGACACTACACAATAGCTCATTCTTCTAATAAAGTGCTTTGCTAGTGGATTTGTAGGAACTTCGCAAAAAAAATTTGTTACACCCTTGCACCATGACAGGATTCAAACTTGGAACTGCAGGGTACCGCAATAGGAGAGCCACAACCCCTGGAAGGCGAGGGCTGGTTATTCGACACACCTGTGTTAATGCCCCAGATTGTCCTATCAAACAAGTTGATTTTTCTATAGTAATATAACTATACTAACCAACACAGTATCTGAGAATGAAGCGGTATTGGCAGGTTAAAGCAGAGAACCAGGAGTCCAGATTTCTGGGTTTTGTTCCCCACTCTAGCTCACTAACTGTGGGTGAGCCATGCAAAGACTATTACCACTTGTCTTGTTGCGAGGATCTTGTGCTAGCTCTTTGCACAGGGGTGAATTTCACCCTCAGATCTTGGAGAAGTCATTTATCCTCCCTGTGCCTCCATTTCCCCATTGACATACGACGAATACCGTGGGCTTGTCTACACAAACACTTAGTCCACAGCAAGCGGGGATGTGAATCTACCACGCCCTCGCCTGCTGTGCACTAGTGATCTGTGTGGACTCTGCTGATGGGCAAGAACAGTTCCCAAGTGTACTTTACCTACCCCACTTTGCAATGGTGTAGATCAAAGCGCAGGAAGGAACTGTTAGTGTGCATCAGCAGGGTCCACATGGGAATAATGTATGGCAGGCTAGCCCAGGGCAGATTCACACTGCATGTGTTGCAAACTAAGTGTTTGTGTAGACAAGCCCTAATACTTGCTTCATTCATTCATGTTTATAACCTGATTGGAGATCTTTAGTTGGCAGCTGTTAACAATACTGTAAAACTCTATATTGACATATTACAAACTGGGCTGGAAGACTGGCGGAATATTTGTTCCTGCATATTCAGTGCTGTGGTTTATCCCACCTGTGTAGCGAGAACTCACTTCACGGTTCATTGGTGAGATACATTTCCTGTCCCATAAAAACTGTACATATCCTCCTTCAACCTTTCTCCTGTGCATTCATGGCTCTAATCGTGTGAGAACATAGCCAAGCGCTTGTCTCAGGGCCTAATGGTCTCTTCCCTTTGGCTTTGAAATGGGCTCCCCTTGTGCCTTCCAAGGCGGTGTGGCTGCTGGCAGACACAGTCCCCAAAAAAGCACTCACCTCCTTCCCGTCCCGCACCCCTGGCCTAAATCTGTCGTCAAAGCAGCTGCCAGCTCTTGGTGTTCCCCTTCATAGTGCGAGTGGGCTGTCCTCTAGCCATCGCTAAGGGGGGGGTCTGTTGCAGTATCTACTGTAAAACCATGGGGCTTAAAGCTGTACAGCAAAAGCCTGATCTGAACTGAAACGGCCTTTTCAAAGTCTCACTCAGCTCGGGAGGGAGTTTTTTTACTTATTTGGTTTTCATCGTATAAAACACACGTTATTGTGCTTGTTGCAGATGGCTGTTGGCAAGGAGTGAAACCAGGGGCATTCTGGAAAAGCAAAACTGGCCCAGGTTTCTGACTAAGAGGAAAAGTGGTGCGTGGGGATTATCTGCGCCCTCAGTGATCTCCCTGATTAAGGCTCAGGCCCTTGGGAACAGACAAACATGCTGGTGTCAGTCTGAATCTTTGGCAAATCTCAGAGGACTGTTCAAAACTGCAGATGCTTTTGGTTAGTGAATTGCTTTACAAATACATCGATGGACATTAAGGCTGTGGGGTTTAGCCTCCATAATTAGAAGTTTTGGACCAGTAATGGGCTATTAGTATTGAGGTAGCTTAAAGGCCCTTACCAAGGATGGGGATCTCATTGTACAAGCCAATAATGACAAAGATCGTCCCTGCCTCAAGGCACTTACAGCTGAAGATGGGACTCTCCAAACGTTCATCAGCTCGATTTGGATAAATACCCCAAAGCTTGGGAGCTTTGCCAAAGTACCCAACCTGCATGGAGTGGGATACCTTGCTGTGAGATTGCTGGTGTTTCTTGCATCTGACCAGGTTGGAGATAAGGTGAGAGCAGCCTTTTGTTGGTTCTTTCAATCTCAGTGGGAACCAGGAAGTGCAGAGCTACCCTTTTCAAATGCACGCACCATGCAAAATCAGATAGCCTTCATGCTGCCAGAACATACCCACATGCATGTGCCAACAGGGAGGCTCCTTATTTACATGCATTGTCATTCACTTGTTTGTATGAACCTACTATCTCCAGAATTAAACTTCGGGGCCAGCTTGGGACAGTGCAATATTCCCCACAGCCCTGCTGGGTGCTTCTTGCCAGTAGGAGGTCCTGTACAATTCCCAGTGACATGGAGACTCCATTAGACACGACTGGTTCCTTAGCTCTCCTAAAGGAGCAAAACCAGGGTACTCACCACGCTCACAGAACGTCCCGCTCCAGCCAGGGCTGCAAGTGCACGCCCCACTGACATGGTCACAGACGGCTCCATTGTCGCACTGACACCGGTGTCGGCAGCTTAGCCCAAACCATCCTTCTGGACACTCTAGCAAATACAAGGCAACCAACGTTGACCAGAGCGTCCTTCCAATCAGGGTCACTTTAAGGGGCAACGTGGGGCCGCTGGTTCACACCCTGCCAAGTGAGGGCAGCAGTGAATGAAAGTAGCGCTATCTGACGGCTGGTTGTTTGGAGTGGACTGGTGGTCTCTGCTTCAGGACTTAGGGAACAGATCCATGTCACCAAAATACCAATCACAACTGGCACTCATTGGTAATACAGTAGAACCTCAGTGTTACGAACACCATGGGAATGGAGGTTGTTCATAACTATGAATAAAATGTTATGGTGGTTCTTTCAAAAGTTCACAACTGAACATTGACTTAATACAGCTTTGAAACTTTACTACGCAGAAGAAAAATGCTGCTTTTAACCATCTTAATTTAAATGAAACAAGCACAGACGCAGTTTCCTTATCTTGTCAAATCTTTTTTTTTTTAAACTTTCTCCCTCTTTTTTTTTTTAGCAGTTTACATTTAAGAGAGGACTGTACAGTACTTGCTTTTTTCTTTTTGTCTCTGCTGCCTGATCACGTACTTCTGGTTCCAAGTGAGGGATGTGGTTAACTGGTCAGTTCGTAACACTGGTGTTCTACTGTATCAGCAAAGAGACCGGGCATGGGAAAAGAACCAGCCCCACCCCCAACAGAGGTGCCATTATGGGGGAAGCTGGTCCGGCTGCTACCTGCGCTTTAACCATTGTGGGTAAGCAGGGGTCTTCACTCAGCAGGGCTGCCAGGCCAGCACCTTTTCCTACCATAAAAGCTAACAGAGTTCAGCTTGGCTAGACCAAAGGTGAGACCAGCCTGCTGACAACACTCACTCTGATCACAATGGAGTCCCGTGGAGCCAGCTTCACAAATGCACTGTCCTGTCCTCATATTGCAGCTGCCGTCACTGTTGCTGCAGTTGCAAGTGTTAGCACAATCGGGGCCCCAGTGGCCAGCGTCACAGGCTGAAACAGAGGAGAGACCTCGCCCTGAGTGGCAGTGCCCTTTGCTCAGCTGGGCAAAGACACAGGGGAGAGGGGGCTTTTCTTCTCTCCGCTGCATGTGCGTGGCTTCCATCAATGGGCACGGCTCACGTGGACAGAGAGAAAGAGGAACGCAGCCAGCACTCCTCAGGCCAGGTCAATGGAAAGAAACTAGGTGATAAGAACAACAAGGAGTCCGGTACCACCTTAAAGACTATTTAAGACTAGGTTTATTTGGCCATCAGCTTTCGTGGGTAAAAAACCCCACTTCTTCAGATGCAACTCCTCGTTGTTTTTGTGGCTACAGACTAACACAGCTACCCCTCTGATAGTAGGTGATAAGGTAACACAGGGTACCACTGCATTTTGTACAGACTGAATCCCCACAAAGAACACGGAAGGGGTGGGGGAAGGCAGGTAGGCAGAGGCTGTAAGAGACAGAACGGGGAGACAGATGAAAGCGAACATACACCGAGGAGAGGTGCCCTCTACACCATGTCCATGCCACACAAAGGGTACCGTACCTCTCCTGCAGTTATCCCCAGTCCAGCCAGGAGCACAGCTACATTTCCCTGTCACCGGGTGACAGTGCCCGTCATTCCCACAGCTACATCTCATCTGGCAGCCTGGCCCAAACCAGCCAGCTGGACACACTGCAAGGGAAGAGAGATATTAAGAGCAAACTGCTGCTATAGCAACGGTGCGGTAGTTACATTTTTGATAGGCAGCGTGTGGTGTTACACACCCCGATTTCCAGCGTGGCTCTAGAGCAGGGCCATCAGCCACATGCATTTAAAACCCTGCTTGCCTGAGCTCAGATGCTCCCGCCTGGGCTGGCCAGGAACCTACACTGAGGGGCTGCATTCCTTCTGGCATTACTGCTTCCTTCCGTACGTCGGACAAGGAGGAGGATTAAGCCACATACCTGCGAGCAGCTAGACTTTAGCTCCATACCACTGCCAGATCCCAGAGGGACTGTCTGAGCAGAGCACTGGGACCCAGGAACTGACTCGCTGTGTGACTCTGGGCCAGCTGCACCACCTCTTGGTGCCTTGCTTTCCCAGGCCTAGGCTACGTTTAAAATGTAGGTCAACAGAGTGACGGCAGTCAGGCACAGGTGCTGGAACTAAAGGTGCGATTGGGGAGGGCGCTGCTGCACCCCCTGGCTTGAAGTGATTTCCATCATATATGGGGTTTCCACTTTGGTTCAATGGCTCTCAGCCCCCGCCTGTAAAAATGGTCCCAGCGCCCCTGCAGTTAGGGGTGTGAGAAATGCACAGCCCTGGCCGGCGTAGCTATGCCGACCTCACCCCCAGCTCTGTCGATGGAAGCTACCTGGGGAGGCGGTGTTCCTACACCAACAGAAAAAACCCTTCTGGTGCTATAGGCTGCACCTCCACTATGGGGTTACAGCACCACAGCGACGCTGGTATAGTCCCCCTAGCGTAGACATATTCCCTATAAAAGGGACCCGTGGTAGCTCCTAGGAGTTGCGAGGATACCAGCTAATGCACGGCCCTCCAGGATGTACAATGCTAAGCGCCGTTTCTTGTTTAGCCCAGTGGTGACAGATAACCACAGGCTCAGATCACTAAGTAGGATACTCCAGGCCTCGCCTGTAGGAATCCTAGTTATTACCACCCACGCGCATTCACCGAGACAGAACGAACCCAGCCTTCAATGGCCCCACTTACCATCCTGGCAGCGGCCGCCAACATATCCAGGTGGACACAGGCAGGCACCCGTGGCCGGGTCACAGCTGGCGTCGTTCTCACACTCCAGGCAGATCTCCTGGCAGCCCACTCCCCAGCGGCCAGCGGGGCAAGCTGAAGCACAGACAGAGACGGATGCCAGAGGAATTTCCACTCATTATTCCAAAGGGCAGTTAGTGCTGGGGAAAGGTGCCAGCTCCACGGCTCCCTTAATCCACAGAGCCGGTGTGCTAAGGGCAGGGAGAGGGCAAGCTTCTGTGCAGCCAGTGGACACAACCCCACCTTGGAGAGGCCACCCCTTGGTGGGCCCCATTCTGCTGAGAATACTAATAAGGTGGCAATTAGTATCAATGGTAACGCGGACACCGGTCCACTAGAAAGTGGCTGAAGACCACCATGCTGCCCACTCTACACCTTCCTCCCCCTTCTGTTACTGCTGCTCCCACATCAGGGCCTGGGGACAGGAAAAGCAAATACCACGAACAAAAGATGCCGCAAAAAGCACTAACGAGTTTTCAAATCTGTTTTCTCCCCCTTCCACCCCCCCACCAGCCCACATTCCCGGACAGAACCCCACCCTCGTGCAAATGCTTTCAGAGAGAGTATTCGCCCTATTTACTTTCTCCAGGGAGTTTTATTGTTATTTACTTTGAATTAAGCTTTTTCCCTTACTTTCTGGGTCCCCGGGCCCTACTCCAGGGAAGAGAGGGAAGCTAATGACATTAGAAAGGCAGCACTGAAGTCACATAGTTAAACTTAACAAGCCTTTTCTTCCCCCACCAGGCAATCTTTCCAGGAGTTTGAACAACGTGAATGTAACGCTGAACGAGCTGGGAAATCTGTTTCTTCGATTCAAGAGCATTCTTTCAAATATTACAGCCCTGGGGTGCCTGCAAGCCCTGGGCACCTCGCCACAAAGCCATTTAAAAGGAACTAAAGAGACAGGTTTATTTTATGGTTTCTTTATGACTTAAGTGAGGCTTGTGCTCTCGTGATCTGAATTTCCTCTCTCTCTCTGAAGAAGTGAGGTTCTTACCCACGAAAGCTTATGCTCCCAATACTTCTGTTAGTCTCAAAGGTGCCACAGGACCCTCTGTTGCTTTTTACAGATTCAGACTAACACGGCTACCCCTCTGATACTCTCTCTCTCTGTGGAGCTGCAGGACAGACTGCACGCATCCCAGCTGCTGGGGCCAGTTATCTTTATGACAACACAACAGAGTCTCTACGAATGCCATCATTCTGCACCACTCCGGTCTGTCTGCAATGCTGTTCCCTTACCAGCCAAAAAGTTCTCTCTGTCGCCCCGTTTCATACCGGGAGTGAAATGAGGTACATTGTCTCTACAAACTCAGCAATGCTGCCTCCTCCACAGCAAATGGCTATTCATTCCTGAGCCGGTTTTCTGAATCCACTTTGCTTGTTACATGCATTAGCCAGTTCTGTTTGTTTTCTTTACCTGTTTTGCTTGTTTTTCTTCTGATATTCTAGATGAAAAACGACATTTTGTGTGCACAAGCCACAAGCTTTTCACCAAAGCCACATTGCTGGGAGTTTCAAAGAGGGCTGCTTCAGAAAGAACAATTCATCCAGTGCCTATAGTGATGCAAAATTCCAGCCAGCGATACTAAGGTCGAATAGGCTGAACTACGTTTTCTCTAGCACCTTGGAGTCTCTAGGTATCCCAAAGCATCTGCTGAGTAAGGAGCTGAACACTCACAATGCACTGACTGTGCATGCAGGCCGCTGGTGCAGCTGAAGCACCGCATCAAATGTGCGATGGACATACAGCAAAGCAGGCCAGCCGCTTACGGACACTACAAAAGGGACTGATCCTGCATGACGCTGCTTTCCATCCGTTCTCATTGGATTCAATGGGAACAGATGGTGCTCAGCGCTCCCCACAATGGCATCCTAAAATTGTAAGAGCGAACGAACCACTTGCTTTTGCTGTGCATTGAGATAGGTTTGCTTTCTTGCCTGCTTTATGCAAGCACGTAATTCTTCAACCTGTGCTAGCCCAAGCGCTTTCCAATGTGTTTCTTGCTGCTTGATCTTAAAATTAGTGAGTTCTGACCTGCTCAAGCAGGTGGTCTGCATTCAGTCAAGATGGTTTCACATTGCTAGACAGAGATCTTGCTCCGCATTCCTAAGATTTGCATTTAGTTCCAAAAAGGAGCCAGGAAGCTGAGAAGTGCTAAAGCTGAGTCAAGTCTCCTTGTTAAAGTGATACCAAGCCCCTCCAATGGCTGGGGGGAACTATTAAGTGCCGTACATGTGTGTCTTATATTGCTCAGTCAAGCTATTAGAACGAAGACATTTCAATATGACTAATATCTTCCAGCTGTTGTAGCTAGCTTTTTTATTCAGGGATCTCTGGTCTTCCAGTCATTAAACGGACATGGTGAGGATGATAAAAAAATTTATACATCTGTAAAGAAAAATTCCTTAGACCGCAACAATTGGCAATTCCAATTCATTTCTCATTCCTCACGCCATTTATCACTTGCTTACACTTCATTCAGCTGGACAATGGACCCCAACTAGCTGATTTTATTGTCAGTCTTGTACACAAAAATAATGCTGCCATTTTTTTTTTTACTTCCACACAATCTATTTGCAGGAGGTTTGTAAAACCTCTTTAATTTAACAAAAGAAAAAGAAAAACCCAAATGGACAGTTTAAGTCCCCCCACCACCATCTCTTGCCTTCTCACCTCGGCCACAGTCAAGTCCTGTTCTACCCGGCAAACAGATGCACTTCCCAGTGAGCCGGTCGCAGGGGGAGCTGCCACAGGAACAGGATTGTAAACAGTTAACTCCAAATGTCCCTTCTGGGCACTCTACGGTTAAAATAATGGAAGAGAAATCACACTTCACTATGACACATTTTCCAAGAGAAGACTTTCAGCCAATCACAGTCACCACGAAGAAGATACCTCTTCCCTGACTCTGTGGGTCACATTATGGCTACTTCCCCGTGCATGTGTCAGAAGGGGAGAGGGAAAATGGCCCCCCTCCAGTGGAAAGGAACATAACTGCACTGTATATTGCTGAGGAGCTGGGGAGGATGGCGTGAACACAGGACCAGACACTGCCGCTCCATGCTATAGAGGGAGTATGTCTTAGTGGGGTGTGCATGTGGCTGCTATTGACCCAAGCCATCATGCCCTCCTCCCCGCTCCAGACCTCACCCTACCCACCATGTCCCCAGGGAGAGGTCCCTGACAAGGAGGCAGCTGAGAAATTTCACAGCACCACACTGTTTTTCTATTTGAAATGAGTGCCTGCCCTTTCACTGGATAGCTCACGTGTTCAGTAACTAGCATTTGAGGCCAAACCGCCCTCCCCTGCTGCCTATGGTTTGTTGCCTGCAAAGTGTCCTTATCATAGGCACACCCAGAGCACGAATATGCTCCATTGTGAAACTGCATTCATCCACAGGCAGAAGCTGCCAGATTTTCGCACCTTTTTTAGTATATTTCCACCAAGACTGGGCATTGTCTGTAAACCAGCCCGCATTCCTTCCTGGCATGGAACAACTAAGGACCTCATGTCAGCGGTTCCCTTGTACTGAAACGCAACTGACCCATTTTCTGGGATCTTGTTTCTGTAATCCGACCAATCAAATGCCTGTCAAATTTATCTATGGCTAAATCTTAATGTTCAGTGAAGCTAAACAAAAAACAAAACAAAAACACTGTAAACTAAGGGAGGGTGGGAAGGGATGTTCACATGGCTAATTTTTCCTGTGTTCCCTTAACAATTAAGGAGGATATTTCTGTTTGGGTCAGGGATTTCATGCCTTAACTGTACAATGTGTAGAGAAGTCGCAACCATTCATTTGTCATGTCAGTCTCTTGACATCAAAATGATTGCGACGGCCTCCATTCAACATTATGATATTGCTGCAGGATACAATAGGAGGGCAAAGGCCGTGCAAGAAGCTCCCATGCTTAGACTGAGTCACCCATAAAATGGACACATATTGGCACACAGACACCACTGACATCGGTTAACCCCATGCAAGTGCCATGAGGAATAGCCCTAAGAACCTTCGTAACTGCATGCCTCACCCACTTGAGTTACAGGAATGGCTTTCAACACCTCAGCACATCTGACCTCCCATCCACTAGAGGGCAGATGTGCACACACTTTCATGCCAGAACACTATTTTCAAATGAGTCAAACCTCTACTCTTCCAAATCATTGCATAACCTGATGTCCAAAAAAACACATCAAAGGCTGAGACCAAAGTTCTCAGACATTACGGAGTCCAATTTTTATGAATCAGCACTGTCGACAATGGATAATTTAATGCAAAGTGAGAGAAAGAGAATTATCATGCACAAGAGGAACGCACATTTTCATTTCCTTAGCTCACTGTGCGAGGATGATTTGTGAAAGCCAGATTTTGTTTTTTTGCAGAACGATCTGGTTTAGTAATTAAGTCCCACATAGACCGAGTGCCTCAAAGTTAAAGATCCTTAAATCCTATTTTAATCTCTGAGGAGAGCTCCATGCTTGGAATGTTTTGGTTCATATGCCCCAGCGTTTCATACGATTCAGGTAGTGAAACACACTGACATTCACAAAAGATGGTGGGGGAAAAAACCCACACCAGTTCAGAGATTTAAAGCAACACTGCGGAGTTTTCTGATGTTTCTCTTCTTTGCTAATTGGTGGCAGATGCTTGTCTTCGCTCTTTAATAGTTTCCAGATCCAAACAAGAGTCAAGAGCCTATTATTTCTATAAAAATATTTGTGTTATTTCCTGTGACTCTTCCCTGAGGACCTTAAGTCCGTTCTTATTCTTTAAAAAAGCATCTCCTGATTGAAATTTCCAACCTCTGAACTAGCTCAATGGCTCCAGAGGCAGCACAGTTCTCTGCCATATGGAAGATCTGAGACTACCAGTGCCCTTAGGAAGGACCCCTGCTTCCCAGGTGATTGGAAGCTAGGAACTCTGTAGTGAAGCACAAACTTTGCAAAGGTTTCCTGCATGTCTTCTGGCACATTCCTGAAACTCTCGTAGATTTGGCAAGGAGGGCAGCATATCGTAGAAAGGGAAAGAACTGCAGGAGAATAATCCCTGATTGGCATGGGAAGAATCTCTAAGAAAAATCAGTTGCATTACCATTTGGTCAGTCCTATGCGCATAACATTGGCCATGATGGGAAACACAAACATGAATCTAACTTTCAGACAGTGTTGGACAATCCTCATAGGCCTCAGCAGTTCAGCACAGATGTGAAACCCAAAGATCAGACTTTTACCACAAAAGGGTGCCAGCTGCAAAGTTTGGATGCGATTTGAGGTGTGCTCATCTCCAGGGTTTATCCCAAGTTTCTGGTCTAGAAATCTGACAAGAATGGGCTTAAGATTTTGAGCACCTCCTGCCTACAGTCAGAGCTAAATTAACCCCACACAAACAACTTTCTCACTGTATTTTGGCACAGCCAATTATACACCTGGATAGTACCAGGAAGCACATGACAATGAAAAAAATTTTGGAGGAAAAAAAAGGAGAGAAGAACTCTTACGAACCTCAAAAAAAAAAAATCAGGCAAAAGAGTGTGGGGGTTCGGGGTATTTCTTATTTCCCCTGTCTCTTTTTTGCAGCACTGTATTATTCAAACACAAAATTAAGCCACAGATTTTGTTGCTAAGAGCGTTTTCATGTCAGCAGAGAGCATGGGTTGCAGGCACAGAGCCAAAGCTGATCGATATAGATTATTTGCTGTCATTTGCCCCAGGGATGTAGAATAGATATAAAAGCAAACCCTTTGACTTGCTCTACTGGAATATTTTGGTGAAAATCTATAGCTTTCGCCTTCACTGATAAGATGAATGGGCTGCTTTTTCTGTGCTGTTATTCAGCATAAGCACATGCTACTAAATGACACTAACATTTGTATCTGCTGAATGGGGTGTGGGTGAAGTGCCTGGGCATGAGATCCAAGCCAAACCTAAAACCCATCGGTGGTTACAGTCAGAATTTGGACGCTGAGCAGCAGCAAGTGTTTTTATGCTGTGGGTTTTTTCCTTTCTCTGTCTGAAGATGACAGCACTTGGCTATTTCCTACCGGATCCAAGCAGTTGGCACTAAGGTTAGAGGAGACAAAATGGGGCCCAGATGGGGCCACTCCTCCCCTCAGCATCCCCATGGACCAAGAACTGAGGAATGAACATGTCACATGCTGCTATCACACAGGTCACTGTGTTGGTGTGTTATAGCCCTTCCCCCACCCCGGGTCTGTCTTGTCTACTCTTACTGAAGCTCTGTCTGCCACTCTGGGTCTGAACAGCACACTGGGGCCTGTCCCTGGGCTGGCCCATAGGCCCCAATGTCAGAAACACGTAATAACAATAATTAATGCGCCACAGAACAAAACAGCCATACAAAAGGGGATGATGCTTTTTGATCCATGGGCCAAATTGGAGGCTGGACCAAAGTGCTATTTTCCAAGTTCTGTTGCAGTCATGTTTCCTGGTTAATCATCCCCTCAAACCTCACCCCAACAGTCCTTTTACTGCCTTTTCACATTAACCTATGCGAGTTTCACTGCAAGAAAATCGAACATGCACATCTGCCATGAACTAACAAAGCCAGGGAGCTCTTACAGTCTGAGCACTGCACCGCAGTGACCTGGGAGGTTCAGCCATGTATCCCAGTTGCCAGGCTGGCCCTCTTCTCTGAAGAGCAGAAAGCTGATAACAGGATCATATGGGGGCAGTAGGTTAAATTTTAAGACCACTGAAATATAAGATTTTCTTTCCCTCTTGCAGATCAAAAAAAAGCTTTAATGTGGAATAAAATGCAGAAAGGAGACTCTGACTCCATTCTGCCAGGGATGGAATGCCTGAAAATGAACAGATGTCAAAGGAATAAGAAGACAACGCCGCTAAATATCATCTTCATCTACAAAAGACGAGGCGCCCAAACAGCAGGATAAAGTGAGGCCTTTTCCTCCTGCTCTGATTAAGAATCATTATTAAAAAACGTCTCCCTGCACATTTTAAAAAACTGCCGTGCTTGGATACAGCCCCTGGCTGTTCTTATCATCTAAAGCCATTTCAGTTTCAGCTCATTTGATCTGCTGTAGTGGGGTGGGAAGGCTGGAGGGTTGTAAAAGTAGTTCTTGCTGTCCCTTCTTCTGGCTTCGCGACTATAGGGAGAGGAAGCTTAAATTGACTACTACAGATGTTCAGACTCAGCATAGGCAGCAGCTGGCACAGGGCACTGCAGGCACCCTGGAAAGATATTTGGCCTAACAAAGAGAAGTGTGCAAGAAGGTGGTATGTGTGTACTGGAAGTTGGGACACAGACGAATTTTGTCCCAATTCATTTCTGAACTTCACAAGCCCTTCAGTGAACTTGAGAGGAGATAAATCAGGGCTCATCCTTGGAGAACTAACAGACAAACTGTAGCCACGGCACCACGCCCAGTCACTGAACAGCCATACGGAGGGCAACATTTTCAAAGGGACTAGTGATTGCGGATGCCCAACTTGAAATATCTGAAAGAAGCCAAATCAGGTCCCTTTACAGTGTCCCACATTGGGAATCCAAAACCAGAGGTACCCAACGACACTAGTAGGGGCTTTTGAGAATTTAGGCCAGAAGCCACACAGGAACAGCTTCATTTCAACGAAGTGCCTGCCTAGAAATAAACCATTCACACCAACTCTTGTACGGAGTCCGTGTCCTTTATTTGTCTAATAAGCATTTTACAATGGAATATGCCACCCTCAATGTAAAGTGCTGTAAATGCCTCTGTAAATGTATCAATGTATTAAAACTGGTGTTTTAAATAATTTGGCACTTATTTGGAAGCCAGTTATATTGTACTTCCAATGAGACTTAGGCTTCCAAGTCACTTAGGCACTTCCGAAAAATCTACCCTGTATCTACAGCATGCTTAGAAATTATTACGTGTGTCATTAACGCCTCTGTAACCTTTAGAACAATAGACTAGAGATGTACATATATTGACCCCTAGCACTGCAGTCATGCTATAGCAAGAGGAATCAGCCTTGCAAAGCGTAAAATATCTGGACTCCGCCTGCCCAGTTATTCTTTCTCTCAGTTTTTAGAGCACGTTGGTTGCTGCAGTACCTGGGAAATTTCCTCCTTAGCCCCCTGTGGTTTTGAAACACTATAACAAGCTGAATGGCAGCGTTCAGCCACCATCAGAGGAACCTGCCAGTGAAGCTCACTGAGCTTCTGAAAAGTGGAATATGACACATGCACAGTCTGTGCTGGCGCAACACGTGCCCTTCTGCAGCCCAGTTCCACATGCGGTTTTTACCTTGGTCGCAGTTCTCCCCATGGTAACCTTCGGGACACTCTTTCTGACACTCTCCGCTCACGTGGTCACAGGAAACTCCCAGGGGGCAACTACATTTGTTCTTGCAGCCACCACCGTAATAGCCAGAGTCACACTCTGTTAATGACAGTCATTGAAAAGAAAGAGCATTCGGCATTAGCAGACAGACCTGGGAAGAACACGCAGCCCAAACTGAGTATCAGGGATTCGAGGTATCGCAGTGGAGCTTTAACAGACCCCTCACTGATCTAACATATCACACCTAGCTGGACTGCAGACACAAGTTCAGGGAGTTTCCACTGGCATCCAACGTGTGTGGAACTAGACACCCTAACTTAGCTGACCAAGGTTGAAAATTGGGCTTGCTTCTGTTCTAATTAACAGGATGTCCTGGGGGAGGGTCTTAGTGGTTCTTGGTTTTCCCAATAAAATTAATGAATGTGGGGGGGAAGGAAAGCCTAGGGAAATACTCCCCTAAACAGCCCGTGTCACCTAACCACTCACTTGTCTGACACCTTTTGCCATGATAACCAGGTTTGCATCTGCAGGAGCCGTCCTTCTTGTCACACGCCTGGGTATTCTGCTGCACACACAGGCATTCTTCGGAGCACCCGGGCCCATAGGCCCACTTCGGGCAGGCTAGATGTGGTGGGAAAGCATCATTAAGTGCTTTGGGAAACCAAACAGCAGAGGACAACCAATAGCATTGTTATCACCCTCTAAAGACCCTGCCCAAAGGGAACTCTTAGAAAGATCGGTCTGATGGTAATGTAACAGTGTTAGAAGGGGTTCATCCTGGCTCTGAAAAGGTTAATGTGGGCCTGAGAGGCTAACTCACTCACCTGGCTGCACCTGGAGGGTGGGAACCAGGCCTAACTAAACATGAAGCCTAGCTGGGTGATGATTATAAAGAAAGGAAGACCAGATTAGAAGGGGGCTGCAGGTAGAGAAGGAGAGAATGTTTCAGTCCGTTATTGGATAGCTGGCCTGGGGGATTCTCCACGGAGTACAGACGCCCGGTCAGATACCGAGAGAGACAAGGAGCAGCTATCGGGGTGGAGCAAGCTGCAGCGGTGAGCCCTGATAAAAGAGCAGGATCTGGACTTCTGAGGAGAGAGCTCTGGGAGGCATTCAACTGAGGAACAGAGAGGGATGAAAGGTCAAGTCCAAGGAGGGCAGAAGTTGGGTTTGTTTGTTGTACTTTTAGTTATGGATTGTGTTGAGGGATTCCAGAGGAGAGCCCTGCTAGTCCCAGCCCCGAGAAAAGGTGAAGCTAGAGAGGTTGTGGGGAGATGGCCTGAAAAAGAGAGAGGAAGAAGTCCAGGCAGGCAGCGGCAAGGAGTCTACATGAGGCCCCTGATAAGAGGATAAGGATAACTGAAAGCCCTGAGAGAAGGACATGAGGACCCTGGGACCCAGAGAGGGGGTAAGAACATGGAATGGGTGGGACTAAAATGTGACCTGGCTGGAGGGCCAAGTCATGAGAAGAAGCACACCACAGCACGACCATCGGCAGTGGGTACTGGAAGAGGAAAGCTACCTACGCCACGCCCAGCCACCAGGGGGCACACCAGCAGTCAGCCAACCCTTTTACGGCTGGCCAGACTCACCTAAATGGCAGTATCGTCCGTAAAGTCCAGGGTCACACAAACAGGCCCCGTAAATTCGATGGCACCGACCTCTGTTGGCACAGTTGCATTTCTTCCTGCATTGTTTCCCAAAGAATCCCTTAGGGCAGCCTAGAAAGGGGAAAATGTACTCTGGTAAGAACACCCAGCACAGGAGTGTCACATCAGTCAGTGGGGGCTTACAACAGAACTTGGCAAGAACACTCCATTGCAAAAACACTGCCTGTATATGATAAGAAATTATCACAGTCCTACAGGGCACCTGGATGTGAAAGAAGGAACGGATCATTTTGTCACCAAGAATAATGTCTGCCTCCCTGCAAGGTCAGATCTCAATAAGGGGGTAGTCAAATCATATTCTTCTGGGCATTATCCAATGACTGCAGGGATCAGAAAGGGTTTGCATCTCTCACCTCATGTACAGGGCTGTTTATTAGGTTAGGTGCATTACGGACTGCTGGGGTGCTCTCAAGGAATCAGCAAATACCACAGACTGGATACTGGACTTGATGGAGAGTGACTTGATCTAGTGTGACAGGATGATGATAAACCCACACTACGGACAGACCTCTACAGACAACTAGAAAACACCAAATTACCATTGACAGGTCCAGGCCACCTTTCAGTGCAAAGGCTCCCAAAGTGCTTTGCAATCAGAAACGCACAGAAGCCCTGAAATGCAGCCACATCCAGGGCACCAGATGGGAAGCACCAGGTTAGGAATAAAGGCCAGTGGGAAACAAAGGCCCTGTGATTTCTGATGACCCCCTAGATCAGACAGGACCTCACCCAGCAAATCACATGGTACTTCCTCCCTCTATGCATCCAAGATACTCCCCAGGGCACCTAGCACCACTGTTTCCACATTGGAAGGACGAAGGGCTGAGTCAAACCTGCTGGCAGCCAAACATGCAGTTCCAGGAAGTCTAGCTTTTTCAGACCTGACACTTAGACCACTAAGCCAGCCCCTGGGAAAAATTACAATCATATTTGAACTGTTAAAGGAATAAAATAGTTGCCAGGTTTTTTGTAATGCTGAAGAATTTAATATTAGAAGCATGTGCCAAATAGACTGCCTCAGCAGAACGTGCCAACCAGCAGAAGTACAGGTAGCACAAGCCTTCTCCCATCTGATAACAACATCAGATAGTTTAGGAAGAAGGAAGGCTATCCGGCCCAATTCACCAGCTCTGTATTGTTTATCTGAACCCCACCTTCCTGCTTTTTCACTGTACCCTTCAACTGCCTCCTTCCTAAGGAAAAAAAAGTCTGGGTGTCTATCGAACTCACATATACTCTGCTTCAATTGTCTTCTCCAGCAATGGATTCCCTCTGCTCCTAACCACTTTCATGAAGTCATTTTGATGGAATTTCTTACTGACTCCCTGTTTTCATGTTTTTAGATTATATCTCCATGATTTCTCACCTTCGGGGTGAGAAATAAATCAATATCTACACCAGCTTAACTGATCCCTTTTGTGCAAGAAGATGGGAAGCGATTATTCTCAAATGTCTTCAGTGTCTACTTCCATCTCAGTGACAACCATGACACCTTTCCACAACACTTCTATTTCTTATGACATGATACCATTTTTTTTTTGCTGCCTTCCACTGAACTTTCCCCCAGACAATCATCTGCCTAGGAGTCAGTGCCCATCACTGCTCCCTATGTCTCAAGAAGGACATCACTGATCTGCTAAACTAGGGCTGCCAGGAGCTTGGTGCAGGAATTAGGGAATGACCTAGAAAACGGATTCATGTCAAGTGGATTCTTCAATCATCCTTTTCATATGGAAAAAAAAGTCTTTTTAAATGCAAGACTACGTGATCCAGCAAGTGAGATGGAATCTAGGGATGTGTCAGAGTCTCACACAAAGTGATGTTCCAAGCAAAGGGTTAAAAGATGCCAAGTGCCCTTAAAATACAGGTGTCAGGCAACAGATTAAGGAATATAAACTGAACAATAGAGCACATCCTGTGTAAAGTGCTTCTAAGTTTTAACAGAAGCACAAATGGACTGTGAACGCCCGGCATCATACCTGGCTATGATCTCCATTTATCACTAGAGCAAACACTCCACTATAAAGTATCAATTCAAATAGCAAATGAACTACCCTGTTAGCTCTGGGAATGGAGCTTGTAAGCAGTTAAGAAATATTGTTTTCCTCTTGCTCTGTCCCCAATTTCATTAAAACACATTCTACAGTAAAAAGAGGAGAGCAAGACAATTAGGAAGGTACAACCCCCAGCACCTTGTGCAAGAATTCAGGGCCCAGAATAGCAGAGAGACTGCGCCTATTCTATGCGCATATCTCTCTGTCCTTCCTCCACATGTATTGCACTGATATAATTCTTTCCTTTTTCCAATACTTTATAAACACTAATGAATCATCACAACCCATTGGTGAGGGCATGGTGAGGGCAATCAGAGTATCACTGTGCCCGAGGGTGACCCGATCACACAGGTGAAAAATCGGGACACCGGGGGGGGTAGGGGGGGCGGCGGGGGCGGAGCAAAAAAAAAGCTAATCAGCGCAAGCCTGGGAGGGACGGGGGAGGAGGAGGAGGAGGAGGAGGAATGTGGCATGCTTGGGGAAGAGGCGGGGCCAGGGGTGGGGATTTGGGGAGGGATCCAATGGGGGAAGAAGGGGGCGGAGTTGGGGTGGGGGTGGGGCACGAGCCCCCTCTGGGCTCCGCTCCACAAACAAGCAAATATCGGGACAGTCCCGATAAAATTGGGACGTCTGGTCACCCTACTGTGCCCATTTTACAAATGGGGAAGCTGAGGTGCAGAGGTTAAATGACGTGCCTAAGGTCACTGAAAGTATCAGGGTCAGAGCTGAGATTGAAGCTCGGGAGTTCCTGGTCCCCAGTCCTGTGCTGACACTTTCTGCTCTCCCCACCCCAGCTCCCACCCTGCTTAATCTGTGCATGAAACATTACTCACAATGATGTGCGTGGCACAGGGAATGTGGCCAGACTGTGCCCTCAGGAGCACAGGGTGGCCCCGCATTTCTATCAGCCTGCTGTCTAACTTCTTAGAATGAAACAAGACTTTCTGCACAGAAGCAGCCTCCCCCACCATCATGTCACTGGGCTAGGGGGAGGAAAGTGGGGAGTCTCATTACTGCATGAAGCAGGAGATTGGGAAGCTTGACCATACCATCCTCACACAGTTCTCCACTGACCCCAGGCGGGCAGCGGCACTTCCCAGTCACTGGATCACACGTGCCTCCATTCTTACAGTGGCAGGTGAAGCTGCAGTTCCTCCCAAAGGTGCCTTCGGGACAGGCTGTGAGGGGACAGAGAGACAGAGGTCAGAAAGGCGATTGTACTGTCACGGCTATTTGTTCATTTCTATTGCCCTAGATCAGTGGTTCTCAAACTTTTTTTTCTGCGGACCACTTGAAAATTGCCGAGGGTCTCAGCGGACCACTTAATGATCTTTCCAAATGTTGTTTGTACCATTAGCTAACGATTGTAAAGAGCTTTGGATAAAAGCGCTATATAAAAAAACCC